TCCACACTGGCTTAAGTGTTCCCTCCTGGAGAAGCCCACTCTGACCACCCGACTTTCATCTGCAGCCCTCTTTCTCCCACGTGCAGCTGGTACTTCCCTGGGAACTCGAATGGAGCTTGCTGTATAGCAGACACTCACAAGATATTTGTTGAATTAATTAATGAGTAAATAATCGAATGCCAGGAACTAGTGGTGTGACTTTGAGCAAGTCACTTTACCTTTCTCCAGGCCTTCACCTGCCCTTCTGTAGAATGGGGAGAGGCCTTCCCATCTCACCCAAGGATCGTAAGACTTGGAGATAGCAGAGGTGGAAGCCCTTGCATGAGGCTTGGCACCTAGTACAGTCTCAAAATTTTTCTTTTTGGCCTTCCAATCTGGAGGTGCTCCTTCCCGCCCCACTAGTTCCTGCAGTGGTACTTGCTAATCACTTAATATGATGTCACCTCTCCAAATGACTGTCCAAAGGCCGGTCATCAGGTTTCCAGGTATCCACTGCTGCGTAACAAACAGCCCCAAACTTAGCGGCACAAAACACTTTATTCTATGTCATGATTTGGGGTGAGGGATCAGGATTCATCAGGATGGTTCTCTGGTTTGTTTGACATTGATGAGGGTCACGTAGTGCTATCCAGCAGGGTACTGGGCTGGGCTTGTCCAGAGGGGATGTGCAGACACAGAAAGACAAGTTTACACTATCCCTTTACATGTGGGTTCATTGTTGAAGTCTTGTCAGGTACTGTGAGGCAAAGGGAAACACAGGTCTTCGAAACAGGAAGAGACTCACAAGTGAATGGACTACATACGCTGTCATCCCCAGCAAACGGCCCTCTCTGCTCACCTCCAGCAATTATCTTGTTAAAACCACAAACCGTGTCTCTGCTCAAGGCAGATCAGTCTCAGGCCATCTGACTTACCAGCAATCTAAATATTTGCTGTCTTACACGGAGCATCCCAAGAAACATGTCTGAGAGCTGATTTGCACGCAGGAAATTCCTGGAGAGTGCTCTGGGCAGCAATGCCCAGGAGGGTGGGAGAGGAGCACCTTGGACAGGGGAGAAGCTGAACTGTGATGCAGCCACCACTGACCACTGCATGGAGCTCTGGAGCTGGGATGAGCCTGAAATTGTCCAAATCAAGGCCAGGCTCTGTACCCTGGTATTGACTTTCATTTGTTGCAGACTGCCCCAGTGCAGAGGAGCATAACCTTGGGTGAGGGTGCTATGTTCTACAGACGGCAGTTCCCAGGGAAGACTTGGCTGGGTGACATCCGTAGGGGATTGAGCGTCTGGGTAGGATGATTGGATGTTCTGCAGACACAGAACATCAGCTATGCATCCAGCTCCCACTATGACTGCAAAGCAAATTACAAAGTTTTCAAAGATGCACGATTTCCTTGAAGTGGATAGAAGTGGTTGCATTTGCTTTCTACTGCTGCTGTGACAAATGACCACGCACTTAATGACTGGAAGAACACAAAGCGAGCATCTTACAGTTCTGGAGGTCAGAAATCAGAAGCGGGTCTCCCTGAGGCTAAAATTAAGGTATGGGCAAGACACCCTTCCTCCTAGGGGCAAATTCATTTCCTCGCCTTCTCCTTCTCCCAGGGACCTCCTGTGCTCCGTGGGGTCATGGCCCTTTCAGCCATGCTCAAAGTCGCTCTCTCCAACCTCTGGTTCCTTCATCACATCTGCTTTTTGTGACTTTGACCCTCTTGCTTCCCTCTTACGAGGGCCCTCAAAATGACTTTGGGCCCACCCAGATGGTCCAGGAGAGTTTCTCTATCTCAAGGTCCTTTACGCCATCACATCCACAAAGTCCCCTTTATCATAGAAGGTGACACACTCAAAGACTCCAAGGATTAGGACGTGGACCTCTTTGGGACCATTATTCTATCTGCCACAATGTTTTTTAGGAATCTCTTCTGCCATCAGCAAAACTGGAGACACAGGAAGATGTGGTGGGATTAACTCTGAGAACACTTGATGAAGAGAAGATCCACTCAATGAGGACATCACAGGCACTTCTGGAGGAGTAATTTCAGTATCCAAACTTAAGAGAGGCTCCCAGGAGCACTGATGAACTCCTCGAATGCAGTGAAGCATGATGCCCGTGGCTTGACACGTCCTGGTACCCTACAATTTGTCAGGATCTCCAGCAGAATCAACTCTCATCTCATCTTGACTGGTCCCAGAAGCCAGTCCATTGGTGTCATAGGACTAAATGTGAAATGTATAATGAACTGTTTCACGATGTTATTTTATTTATTGTTTATTTTCTGAGATGGAGTCTCACTCTGTCACCCAGGCTAGAGTGCAATGGCATGATCTCGACTCACTGCAACCTCTGCTTCCAAGTTCAAGATATTCTCCTGCCTTAGCTTCCTGAGTAGCTGGAACTACGGGTGCCTGCCATCATGCCCGGCTAATTTTTTTTGTATTTTTAGTAGAGATGGGGTTTCACAATGTTGGTCAAGCTGGTCTTGAACTGCTGACCTCAAATCATCCCCCCAACTTGGCTTCCCAAAGTGCAGGGATTACAGGCATAAGCCATCACACCCAGCCTGACTCACAATTTTAAATTTTATTTGCAAGCTAAGCCCTGATCAGCTTCTCCTGTCCCACATTATTTACTGTGACTTTTTGATGCCATTCTTAGAACCTTGCATCCTCCATAACTAGGCTCTCCTCCCCTTGAACTACGGTCGGGTTCAAAGTCTTCACAAGGCAATGGATGGGAGCAGAGGAGGACAGGGCCGATTCTGCCAGGGGATGGGGACTTGAGTCAGTCAAGGCTTCACAGGTGAGCTCAGTCTGAGGTGAGGTGCTGGCTGGCTGGCAAAACAGGACATGTGTGTCGGAGGAGGGTCACAGGCAGGGATGGCGACACAAAACTGCTTTGAAGGTTCTGGAACTCCAAGATGTTCCAAAGGGGTGCAGTAGTAATGGACAGAGACTGGGGAAGAGAAGAAAGGTACGTGGACTATAGCTCCCACGGGAGGCAAGAACCACAGAGCTTCCCAGAGAGCCCGGCTGTGGCATTAGGACTGTGAACAGAAGTGCAACTGTTTTCCGCTTCCTGGACTCCCTTCTGTCCCTTGCATATTCCATTGTGTCGATATACCACAGCTGGTTTACCATTTACCTGTTCATGGACATTTGGATAGGTTCTAGTGCGGGGTTTTTGCAAATACAGCTGCTCAACATGTTCCCCGACATTTGTGTGCAGGTCTGTGTGCTTTCATCTCTCTTGGCAGGAAGAGAAGCCCAGGCCACTGAGCCCAAAATTCTTGGGTTCATCTTCCGGACCCAACCTGTTTCTAGCTGTGTGACCTTGGGCAAGTTCCTTCACTTCCCTGTGCCTGTGTCCCCAGGTGGTTGCTGAGAACTTTCAGTGAGTGAGCTCAGGAAAACCTCCAAGAGCAAGGTTTGCCATAGGAAAAGCATTTACATGTCTAATCTCATTGGCTCTCTTCTCATAAACTCATTTTACTTTTGAACCATTTTCATCTTCCTTGGAAGAATGCATATCTGGAATGCATAACTCATGCTGTTACCTCCTTCTTGTCTAGTATTTCAATTTCTCTTTCTACCTTTTTTATAAAAAAAATCCCAGCTTTGTTGAGATATCATTGACATATAACAAACTGCATATATTTTAAGCATATAATTTGATAAAATGTTAGCATGTACATATGACCACAAATCAATCAATCATCACAATGAATTAGTTAACATAAAAATCGTCATCTCCCAAAGTTTTCTGGGGCATCTTTATAATCCCTTCCTGCTTTCCCGGCTGGGTACTCCAGCCAGCCACTAATCTTCTGTTTGCTATGATAGATATTCTAGAATTTCATGTAAATGGAACCGTTACAATACGTACATTTTTTTAGTCTAGCTTATTCCGCTCCACATATAATTTGAGACCTGTCCATGGTGTGCGTGTGCTACTGTTCATTACTTTTTTCTGGATAGTATTCCATTGTATCGATATACCACAGCCAGTTTACCACTCACCTGTTCATGGACATTTGGATAGGTTCTAGTTTGGGGCTATTGCAAATAGAGCTGCTCAACGTGTTCCTAGCATTTGTGTGCAGTTCTGTGTGCTTTCATCTCTCTTGGCTAAATACCTAGTAGTAGAAGGCTGGGTCACTTGGGGATATGAGTGTCACTTTTTGAGAAACTACCAAACAGCTTTTCAAAGAGACAGTAACTTTTCGTGTTCCTACGTGTATATCACAGCTCTAGTTGTTCTACATTTTCTCCGATACGTGGTTAGTCAGTCTTTTTAATTTTAGCATGTGTGGATAGTGGTATCTCCTCGTGGTTTTATTGTGTTTTATTTTATTTGAGACAGAGTCTTACTCTGTCCACTGCGCTGGAGTGCAGTGGCTCCATCTAAGTTCACCGCAGCCTCTAACTCCTGGGCTCAAGTGATTCTCCCACCTCAGCCTCAGAAGTAGCTCAGACTATGGGCATTAATCACCACATCCAACTAACTTAAAAAAAAATGTTGCCCAGGCTAGTCTCAAACTCCTGGCCACAAGTGATCCTCTGACTCCAGCATCCAAAGCATGAGAATTACAGGCATGAGCCACCTTGCCATGTCTCATTGTAGCTTTAATTCCCTAATGATTAATGATGTTGGGCATCATTTTGTTGTTGTTGTTTGTTTTGTTTTTATGAGGAAATACCAATTTTAATTTAAAGGAAAAACAGAAAAATATCTGTGAGAGAAATGGAACAAAACAAGTCCTGAAAAAGGGTTCTGTATCTTGGTGGTCATATTTATTGGAGGAGCGTGAGAAAACCGAAAATACCATTTAGCGTAAGAAGCTGTGAGTCATCTGCAAATGAACTCATTTCAGGAGTGGAAGAATCCCTGCAATTACTTCCTAATGTCAAAATGTACGCAGGTTTCTCTTTTGAATGTCTTGTACATTTAGAGAGGGCACGGTACAAAGTCTCCTGTTTTCCATACGGGACAAATGCTTTGTTTCAGCCAACTCTCAGTGGAGGAGCAACCAGGATAACACCATCTCTCCAGACAAGGAGCATTGGAATATTCCGTTCTGTTGATTTATATATCTCTCTATATGTTTCTTCATTAATTTCTATAGCAGTCACAGTTTCTTCCACATCTCCCAAGATCATATTTAAATGTTGATCCTAAGCATGTAATCTGCCTTGCAGCTCTCAGTCATTTCTGATTTTCACATAAATTCGCTCATGTAGGCTGCGCCTGGTAAGATCCATGGGCTCCTCTCCAGCGTTGGTAGTTTGTTGCTGCTCTATATCGTCAGCCATGTTTCTTGGGCATTTTTTAATGTCAATATTTGCCATCCACTTATCTCATTTAAGTCTTTTGTCCATTTGAAAAATTAGTTTGCTTTTCTTACTGGGTTATAAGAATTCTTTACATAGTCTAGATATGAGTCCTTTTCTGGAAATATGTTTCACAAAAAACGTTGCCCAATTTGTGGCTTGCCTTTTCATTTGAATGTCTTCTGCAAAGCAAAACCTTTACATTTGATAAAATACAACTTGATGCTTTTCGTTTATAGTTGGAAGTTTCTTGCCAAATCAAAGATCACTACGATTGAAGTTTTATAGTTTTAGCTCTTACATTTTAGATTTATGATATAGTTTAGGTTAGTTTTTGCACATGCTTTAAGGTAAATGTCAGGGTCCATTTTCTTGCATCTGGCTATCCAAATTGTTACAGCATCATTTGTTGAAAGATTATTTTTTCCTTATCGAATTGCCTTGGCCCTTTGGCAAAAGTTGAATGTTTTGTTTCTCTAGTGATGCATTAGGGTTGATAGTATACATTTTTAACCTATCATGATTTACCTTCAAGTAATATTACATCACTTCACATTATAGTATAAGAACGAACCACCTCCTACTCTTTGTGCTGTTGTTACATATTCGTCCTCTACAGGTTATAAACCACAAAGTCATTATTTTAAAATATAAACCGCCAAATTCGTTTCAAAGTGGTCAGAAATAAGAAAAGAAACTCTTTACGTTACCCACATAGTTACCATTTCTGCTCTTCTTGTTTTTCCTTGTGTTGATCCAGGTTTTCATCCTGTCTCACGTTACTTTGCCTGAATACTTTCCTTTAATACTTCTTGTAATATTGCTCTGCTGCTTTTACTTTTGTATGTCCTTTTCACCTCTCTCTTTTTTTTCCCCTTTCTTTATTAAAAAAACTTTTTGCTGGCATAAGATTTTTATTCACCATTTTTTTTCTTTCAGTTCTTTAAATATTTTGCTTCACTTCATTCTGGCTTACATATTGATTACAATGAGAGATCTGTGGTTATTGTTATCATTGTTCTTCTATATGTAATTTTTTTAAGGGAACTTTTGAGATTTTCTCTTTATCATTGTTTTTAAGCAATTTAATTATAGCGTACCTTGATGATGTTTTCTTCATTTTTTTTGTAGGGGTTTCACTCGCTCTGTGGATTAAAGTTTTCATCAAACTCGGAAATCATTTTAGCTCTTAATTCTTCCAGTATTGTTTCCATTCTTCCTGTCTCTCTTCTCCTTTGTGGACTACAATACACATATGTTAGCAAACTAGAAACCATACCACAACTCAATTATATTCTATTCGATTTTCATCAGTTTTTTTCTCATTTGTGTTTTATTTTTGAAGAGTTTTTATCACTGGATCTTAAGTTCACTTATCTTTTCTCTCTGCAGTTTCTAATCTGCTGTTCATCTCATAACATTTTTATTTTTAAAAAATCTCAGACATTGTAATTTTCATTCTTAGAAGTTTGATTCTTTTACACCTTCATGTCTTAATATGTTCAGTTTTTTTCCTCTACTTTCTTAGATGTAGTTATGTAGTTCTAATAACTGTTTTAGAGTCGTTGTCTCTTAATGCTATCATCTGTGTCAGTTTTTTGTTCTGTTTCTGTTGACTGATATTCTTATCATGGATTTTATTTTACTGTTTCTCTGCATGCCATTGCTTCTTTTATACCACATATTATGACATGTATTTTCTTGTGTACTAGACATGTTTATATTCTGTCTTGAGATTTTTCTTGAGATTTCTTTTCCTGCAACATGATTAAATAACTTGGGAGCCATGTGTTCCTTTCAAGCTTTGTTTTCAATCTTTGTTAGATACTATCAAGGCAGCCTTTAGTCTAGGGCGAATTTTGCCCACTTTTAAGACCATAAATACCTTCTGGAGTACTGTGATATCCTTCTAACTATGAGTTTTATCCACTGTGGCTGGTGAAAACGCCATATTCCTGCCCTATTTCGCTCTAGGGATGCTTTCTCTAATTCTTTGGATTAGGGTAGCTTCTTTACATGTAAGTGCTAATCAGTACTCACAGGATCAGACGAAGACTCAAGAGGCAGCCTGTGCAGCTCTTTCTGTGCTATTTTTACCTCTGGTACTGTGCATGAATTTTAGCCATCTCATACTCCCTGTATTCCCACTTCCGCCTCCTCAGCTCATGGAGATGGTCAAGTGCCGCCTAGCTTCCACCTCTCCCATAGCTGGAATGTGTTGCCCAGAACACATGTGCTAGAAACCTAATCCCTAATGCAACAGTATTGGGAAATGGGGCCTAATGGGAGGTGTTTGTGTTGTGAAGGCTCCACTCTTAAGAATGGATTAGTGGTCAGATGCAGTGGCTTATGCCTGCAATCCCAGCACTTGGGGAGGCCAAGGTGGTTGGATCACCTGAGGTCAGGAGTTTGAGACCAACCTGACCAACATGGTGAAACTTTATCTCTACTAAAAATAACAAATCAGCAGGGCATGATGGCACATGCCTGTAATCCCAGCTACTTGGGAGGCTGACGCAGGAGACTTGCTTGGACCCAGGAAGTAGAAGTTGCAGTGAGCCGAGATCGTGCCATTGGACTCCAAGCCTGGGCAACAAAAGTGACACTTGGGTCTCAAAAAAAAAAAAAAAAAAAAGAATAGATTAGTGCTGATTATAAAAGAGTTTGATCTCTGGCTCTCTTTCATCCTCCCTTTCCCTCTGCCTTCTGCCATGGGATGACCCAGGACAAAGACCCTCACCAGATGGAGGCCACCTAGTCTTAGACTTCCCAGACCTCAGAACTGTAAGAAGTAAATCTCTGTTGTTTACAAACTATCCAGTCTCCGGTATTCAGTTGTAGCGGAATAAAACTTACTAAGAGAGCCTCCCTGCACTGGTCTCAGGAAAAGGTCTCCATGCAATAGGCTGGGTAATTGCAGCCTTGTTTGTTTTCTCTTTCTCAAGGATTTTGGTCCTGTGCTGCCTGATGACCAATATCTGAAAACCAGTTTTCACATGTTTTGTCTTGGTTTTTACTTGTTTCAGGAGGGAGAATAAACCTAGTCCCTGTTCCTACTCCTTTTTTTTTTTTTTTCTGAAGAAAAAGAAAGAAAGAAAGAGAAAGAAAGAAAGAAAGAAAGAAAGAAAGAAAGAAAGAAAGAGAAAAAGAAAGAAAGAAAGAAAAATAATAATAATAAAAAAGAATGAAGGAGAGGAAGAAAGAGGAAAGAGGAAGAGGAAGAGGGAGAGAGAACGGGGGTGTTGCTTTATTGCCTGGGCTAGAGTGCAGTCTAAAAATGGGTATGCCTATAATTGTGCTTAATAATGGAGACATGAAAGAAAAATGAGGGAAGAAAATAACAAACAAGCAGCCAACCAATATTTCATTTAAACCTATAAGTAGGTGTTACGTGGTACTGATAAGAGTGTGGATTTTGTGTATTTAAAGTGGAGACTTCTATAAATGTTAATTAAGCCTACTTGTTCCAGATCTGAGTTCAAGTCCTGGATATCGTTGTTAATTTTCTGTCTCGTTGATCTGTCTAATATTGATGTTGACGTCTCCCACTATTATTGTGCGGGATTCTAAGTTTCTTTATACGTCTTATATATCTGAGTGTTCCTGTATTGGGTGCATATATATTTAGGATCTTTAGCTCTTCTTGTTATATTGATCCTTTTATCATTGTGTAATGTCCTTCTTTGCTTCTTTTGATCTTTGTTGCTTTAAAGTCTATTTTATCAGAGGCAAGAATTGCAACTCCTGCTTTTTATTTATTTATTTATTTTTGCTCTCCATTTGGTTGGTAAATCTTTCTCCATCCCTTTGTTTTGAGTTTGTGTATCCTTGCGTGTGAGATGGGTCTGGTTCCTACCTCTAGGCAAGAAGCAGAAATATCCTCTGACAACTTTTTGAAGTAGGTTTTTCCTCCCTTTTAATAGGCTAAGAAACTGAGGTTCAAAAGGGTTGTAGGATCTCCCCCGGCCACACGGCTGTGACGTGGAAGCTCTGGATTGGTAAAGCAGACTCCCTGCCTTGGAGCTTTGCACTGTTTTCCCAATGCCTCCCGTGCGGACAACACGGAGGAAATTGACTGGGCGTGGGCATGAAGAATCAGTATTAAGCTGTTAGAATTGTTGCTGCACAGAGCTTTATTTGGACCAGAGGTACTCAACCCAATGGATCTCATTGAACATTTAAGGAATGCTGTTAGATGCCCTTCTCTGAAAATCGCATGCATATATTCTTCGTTTTGCATATAATTTTAGGAAGTCTTTGACTCCACTGTGGCAGAGACAGCTGGCAAGTCTATTCAATATGCACTTCCCTTCTTTCTTTCTAAAGGCACTCCTGTTTTACTGCGAGGCAGCAGTATAAAAACCGAAATACAAACTTAATTCTCAACCTCTCTTGTAGTTTGCAGTAGCCAATGAGATGTATGGGGAAAATCTTTTTAGCAAAGATCTTAAACAGGGGTTAACCCACTGGCATATGCTTTTTTGCCCCTCACATTTATCCCTTCTTCCTGCTCAAAAAGACGTTCGATGGTGGGGGTGGAGGAAGGTCCGTCCTATGACCAAGGGGATGAGAACTGCAGGCACCAATGAGCTGGGGAGTCTTGGGTCCTAAGGAGCCTGGATTCTGGACCAACTATTTTCAGAATTCTCATGTCAGAGAAAAATGAATCCTATTAGTTTCATTTTTATTCTCCTTTAAGTTGACCATGTGTCAGTATAACCCTTAGGGAGAGCAATGACTTTGTCTCCTTCATGGTTCCACTCCTTCACTGCTCGATAATTTTCATAAAGATAAGCATAGGGTCAGAAATGTGGTGAAGATGCTATAAATAAAAATGACAGAAAACGATAGCTGGGAAGTGTAAACGGTCACATTATCGCCCATCAACATTAGAGCATGGGAAGATGACTGCGTTAGTCCTGGCAGAGACCTATGCTGCTAGGGAATTGGACACAGTGGGAGCCAGGCCTCTAGGGAGTGGG